GTTCATAGTCCAAGCTTATCTCCACCTATAAAAGTCACACTATATGACTCAGTTCGCTTGATAGTTTTACTTTAAATTGCTCGAGTATCAAACAATAATTACACACATAGTATTCACCATGCCATGATGACATATTTAAGTTGCAAATATGTCCTGCTTGCTTGTGCCTTTCTCTCTAGAATCAAGACCACCACAAAGAAAAATGGAATTCAAACATAGGAAAACAAAAGGTATCCATGGTTGTGTCTCGTACCTGTAGCCTAATAATTAAATCAACAGATGGCTTCTTTTGTTGGACAAGATCTTGCTTTTGCCCTATGGCAGGTAGAGGATGTTGACACATGGAATCCACACGACTTTACCGTGCCCAAAAGCTAATGGCTCCTGGAAAAGCCATGTCGTACTTGGATGAGCAAGCTACCATGTGTACCTGTTGTCACATTGAGAAGTCTACATCCTATGCTCGTTTGCTATGCTGCAACGTGCGATCATTGTGTGGAAGCATGGCCCTCACTGCCTCACATGATGATATCCATATGGCCATCATTTTTAGGACATTGTGCAAAATGTTACTGATTGCTAGTGTTCAGGTTCAAGAGTTGTTGGGTTGATGCTGCCCCAGTGATCCTATGTGCAACTATCAGAGTATGACCATGAATGTCTTCATATGTGTGGATGCAATTCCTAGACCGGCCAAACCTTGTCTCTATCTACTCCATCAACAGGTTTGGTTAGTATTGGTGGTCCAACAAAAATAAGATCTATTTGAGCTAGCTATACACACCTAGAAATCTACTTCTTTCGACCTTTTACTACAAGAAAGATCTATTTCCGAAGAAATGTGTATGATTATATAATACTATAAGTGTACTAGGTCTATTATGCTACATGGCCAACGATACCAATACAACAAACGAAACATCGTTTTCTAGCATAGTGGGTCCCATATTTGCATCGGATGCGGTTGATTAGCCAAGTGGTTCTAGAACTTATCGGGAGACGGCAGAGCAATCCTTTAATTGATGCTTACCTCAGAAGCAATCACTACTATAGAGAACAAGGCTATCTGGAACTTAATATATGAACTTATGCATTTATCATCGATAACTTTATTGTAAAATAGTCCTTATGATTCTGATAAAACTATATGCAATTTGGAAACAATAATATATGGTACCTATGCCTTTCACAAATGGTTTGTCTGTGAATACACTAGGCCACGTCATAGATCGAGACATCCATAGTTTCCCCAACCAATGCAAAGCATACAAATCAAGCGCTTTCTCAGACAAACTCCACCATTCTTCTTAATCCACCACATCATCTTTATGTAAGGCTAGATCCAAACCCCACCTAGCGGCTGGTCACTTGCCCCAAATATTATCACACACAATCCACTGATACCATGCGCTAGAGTTTGTCTTTGATGAGTACACGGCCCACGGGTATCACCATGGATGACAAAATTGACCCCCGGCCCTAGACATGGATGGACCAAGCCAACTGGTCTGTCATCTACTTGATGCACAAGGCATAGATCGACACATGTGTAAACTAATTTATCGGATCTTGTAGTAACCAAATAGGAAACAGCATATTGGTAAACTGATCATGGTATGATATGATCTCCCTATAACCCTACCCGCTGAGCTATATAAGGTGGGTAGGGATCCCCCTAATTAGCACATGGGTACATCTCTAAACACCAACCTTAAACAATCTAGCAACTAGTAACGTAACCCTAGTTCTCATCACCATATGATGTACAAGCAATATATGTATGGCACCGTCTACTTAAACCAGTATAAATATGTGTCCCATCTGCTATCCACTAGATTTGCTACATGTAACATGGCCCATTATCAGGTCCAGAAAGTACCATGTTCTGGACTCCACCACCGGGGGGGGGGGCATTATTTAGGTTCATGTGAATCAATTGCAATTAATACAATAAGTACCGTGTGATGAGCGCAACAATTTTCATATATGAAGTAAAAAAACAATTTTCATATATGTACGTCTTAATTTAGTACTTAATAGGGTTTGTCTATTGTATTCTTGAAGATGGTGCTTCTGTGAGATGCTTATCATGTATACACACATGACCTCAATGTCTGATCAGATGGAGAGAGAGAGAGAGAGAGAGAGATCACATTCAGGATGATAATCTAATTTGAATCGTCTTGATGTCACCACCTTGCATATGGTGCGCAATACATTGACTAAAAAAGGCACATATATGCTGCATCTGCCCATGTATGGCATGTTTCAAATGCCACCAGTGATCATTGCCCAAAGTCAGATGAATGGGTGAGCTGAATACAGTATGGTTGTAAGAATTACCTGAATTAATATCTGGTTAGGGGGCTCTCCATCAGTTTCTCTGCATGTGGTATGATTAAGTTTTATATCGTCCTTATTAAATTTAATTTACATATAATAAGTTTGAAAGGAAATATCTATTTCATTTTCAACTGTAGGATTAGTTGTACTGTTGTCATGTAAGCGTAATTTATATGCATCGATCCAATCTAATGCAGCTGGACACATATATTATTATACAGATTATCCCTGGTGGCCGGTGCTCGCTCGTGGCCACCAAAGTTTCTATTTTTGCATAATTCAAGGTACAAGGACTGAGAATCATGTGTCGTGTTTCTTTCTTTTGTTTTTTTGAGAGGACAGAAGTACAGAAGCAAGAGTTGTTAGGTTTAGTCTTACATCATAAATTAATGGTGAAAAAGCACAACATACAAGACAGCAGGAGAGGGGGGAAGTCCTCACCAATCAGGCTAGTTTTTTTTCGTTAAGTTTGGTCAGAGACGACCTTGGTATATCGTGGACTCTGGTGGGCCTAGGCCTAGGGGTGCTGGCTCATGGACATATTGAGTTGGACCGGCTAACAAATTGTCTCGGGGCCCAAGGTCAGAAACTTGAAAAATCTCAGAGGTCACATGTTGACAGGGGAACCCGTTAACATCTTGAAGGGTCACACATGTTGTGTGTGACATGGAGTGGTTGGACTCTGGGCCTAGATGACGTCTTCTGGAGATCACACATTGTGTGATTTAAAGAGTTAGGCACGATGTGTGACTAGGGAGATTGTAGATTTAGTCCCACGTCGAAAATTGATGGTGGGGAGCCCAACATAAAGGGGATGGCAGCCCTCACTGGGTCGAGTTAGGCCCGAGACCTTGGTATGTTGGCTTAGGTGGACCTGGGTCTAGGCCTGGGGGCGGCTTATGGGTATAACAAGCTAGGCCGGATTCGCTGTGTACTCTAACAAGAGCATCTCCGGAACCTCCTCTCACTCTTGAACTTTTGGTAAGATTGATACACGCACTCTCCAACAACTCCTTATCTCAACTCTTAATCTTTCCACACTTGGAAATTCGGTCCTATTGCATGGAAATATATGCGCGTGTATCAATCGGCCAATACGAAGATAGAAAGACGTGGAGAAGAATAAGGGACAAGAGCATTTGGTAGCACCTCGAGGTACCTCCAGTAGTCAAAAAACAATTAGTAAATTAATCACATCATTTGGTAGCACCTCGAGGCACTGCAGCCGGATGGCTGCCAACGAGGGCTGGAATCAGCAGCCGAACATGCCAATGAGTTTTTTGAGTGGTTTAAAATGTTGGGAGCCTATTCGTTGGGTTCTTCCAACCGTTTCTAAAATCTGGCTCCTAGAAGGTAGAAGGTAATTTTGCATCAGGAATTTCTTACTATTTTTAAATCAGGCAAACACTATTATACTTTCTTTCTCTCCTGTATGTTTGCATTGGAAATCTATCCTTACTTCTTATTCTTTCCTACATCCTTCTACCTCCAGATTGACCGATTGATACGCGCGTATATTTCTATACAATTGGATCGATTTTTCCAAGTGCAGAAAGGTTGAGAGTTGATATAAGGAGTCATTGGAGAGCTGTTTTTCAATCTTGCCAATCGAATCAAGATTGGAAGTGGATTTTGAAAGCTCTTGGAGATGCTCTAAGCACATGGTTCCTAATGCAAATATATATGCAACAGAGAAAGAAAATACTCCCTCCGACCAGGAAAGAATGCAATTCTAGCACTGTGTCATGATTTTGTATCTTAAGTTCGATCAATTATATAGATAAAAAGTATCAATATTTATGATATCAAATAAATATCATTAGATTAAATATGAAATATATTTTTATAATAAATTATTTTGGAGCCTTAAATGTGAATAGTATTTACTAGAAATTTGGTTAAACGTGAACTACTTTTGCTGGCACGCAACACGTAGTTGCATTCTTTTTAGACGGAGGGAGTATAAATAGTTATAGTGAAATAGTATGAGATTTCTGACGTAGAATTGTCTTCTATCTTTTAGAAGTTTCGAAAACGGTTAGAGTATCACAACAAAAAATGCTTTCTTTTTTTTAACCACTTGAAAACTCATTAATTTACTAATTGTTTTTTAAACCATTAGAGATGCTCTAATAATATATTCAGCTTCAGAAAAGGTTTGAGGAGGCCCTAACTTAAGACACGTGTAAGATTTCGTAGTGACGTTTAGGCACAGCATAAGATATATGATGCATTTGGCGATGCGCGTTGCTTTAACCTTTCGTGCGTGCGTCCAATTTCAGGCCACCTGTGTTTCTTTCCAGAACCTACCAAGCCCTCTTGGTTACCACCATTAGTTTAGCATTTCCAATAAACTAACCTATCTGGTGACCCTAGCCAATGGGGAGGCAAATCTGTCTCCATGATTCCCTTGCTAAATAAAGGAAGGAAAGCAGCTAATGGAAAGACGACTTGCAAAGCCACCAGCAAGAGACTCCTCTCTATCCCGTCGTCTTCCTCTCTCCCCTCCAATAATTCGTCTACCTGGGAAACCAGCTTCCAGAGCTCCTGCTGGCCGGGGTTCCCATCTCTCTCTCTCTTCCCTCTCCATTACTATCCGTGCGCGTGCGGTGTGCCTGCCCCGTGTGTGCGCGTGCAAGACCGGACGCAGCTTGACGATGGGGCGCGGCAAGATAGTGATCCGCCGGATCGACAACTCCACGAGCCGGCAGGTGACCTTCTCCAAACGGCGGAACGGGATCTTCAAGAAGGCAAGGGAGCTCTCCATCCTCTGTGATGCGGAGGTCGGGCTGGTCATCTTCTCCAGCACCGGTCGGCTCTATGAATACGCCAGCACAAGGTTAGAATTGACTCCATGCAAATCACGCCCGTATTTCGGTCTTCAACTTATGCTTCATTTTGATTCGATTTCTCCAGAGACGTGTGTGCTTTTTGCTCGTGAAGTTTTAATCTTTTTGGAAAACCATCTGTTCATACCGGCCTAACTTGAATCTCTTAGCTTGGATCCAATAGATTTCCCCAAGTTATCACATATGTGTCTAAGCAGCCGCCGTTAGCTAATCAATGGCCATATCCAGAGTTTGATAATACTTTGACAGTGGTTTATATTGACCTCTTAAGTCTTAGCTACTATAAAAAGTTTTTCTCAGAAATCTTCCCATCCGAACGTTCGGATGGGAGCCGCGCGCCGAATGGAGGGGATGCTGCACGAGCAAGAACAGTTTCTCTTCCTCTCGCAGCTCACGATGCGGCTCACAGCGACGCGGCCCACGACGCACCACCGCTCCTCCTTCGTTTTCACCTCTGGCAGCTCTCTCCCTAGGTATGGTGGCCGGGGGGTTAGGGACCAGGCGACGGTGGAGGCGGCCGGACCTCCATAGATGGCGGCTCATGGTAGCAGATCTACTAGACTAAAATTCAGAAACGCGAAAAAATAGAGAGAATGTAGACGACTAGAGGTGTCTTGCATTTTTAGCCTATTTTTTTTTGCCATGGGAATCTAAACAGTGGACTAAAAGTGAGCAAAGGGGTGGACTAAAGTTTTATCCATTTGCTACTCAAGAGGAGTAAAACTGGGCTAAAATGTATTGGGGGCACACTGGACACCAAATAGCCCCCATCCACCCACCTGTGCTCTCCCTCTCTCTCCCATAGCTTAATTAAATGAGTGCAAATCAGTCATTGTAGGATGGATGACTAAACTTTTGCCATGGATCCAAGGACGAGGGGATTATGCCCGTCATACTCAAAAGCACTAGAGCAACGACAGTGGTAAGACCGAACTATGTTGAGGTTGGTGGCATTAAGGTGACAGTGAGGAATAAAGTTAGGAAATAGTGGAAATATATTCATGTATTAGTAGGGAGATCTAAAGCTTATCAGATGAAGATTTAAGGAATAAGTATAACATACTTTTGTGTACTCATCCTATGGTCTTGCACTCAATATGTTAGATATCGAAAGTATGGATGTAGCTCAGGTACCTCTTGTGTGTACGTGTGCGCAAGCGATACTCATCCATAGTATTACTCATACATTTTATATGGTTTATATAAGAAAAGTATGTGGTACTAGCCTTATTGGTATATATGGTATGTCTTTGTGCAGCATGAAGTCAGTGATTGATCGATATGGTCGAGCGAAGGATGAGGAGCAGCTTGTAGCAAACCCCAACACAGAACTTAAGGTATGCCATTATAAGTGATATCAATAGAACTTGACTAAATGTTGATCAATTGCATAATGTTGTTCTACAGTAACACTAGGTTCTTGATTTTTGTTGTACGTGTTTCCTAGAATTTATGTTAGCAGTTTAGCAAATAAAGGTAGAAATAATAAGAGTGATAAATCATAACTAATATACTACAAATCATTCAAAGAAAATGTTTGGCACAAGTCATATATATACTATAACATCCTAGGTGTTAAGTATATGCATTTCATGAGTACACATTTCATGAGCATCATCAGTTGCCATGCATGATTGAGAATGTTCTTGCACTTTTGTGCTCACTATATCAAACCTAGTAAATCTTTAAGACGATTAAGAACAAGATCCAAAACAACATGCACACATCAAATGCATATTGTTTCACCAACAAACTCGAAACAACCTTCAATCAACCTTACTAAGCAGCTGGTATCATATTCTCTAACGACATAAGGTTTAAAGTGCAAACTTGCATTGTCTGACATGCATGGTTATTTAGATGCCATGCTTAAGGGCGAGTAACTGCTTATTTCACTTAAACACTTAACCAAGTTTAAAGATGAAAGTTGAAGTACTAAACTCTAGCTTCAGTTTGGCATAGGTCTCCTTGAAGGCTAATAATGTCCTGACCCAGCCGAGTGACCCCAAAGTCAGTATGTGAGTGTTACACTTAGACCGTAGGAAACTAGTTTGCTATGGAAGGTATAAATACACAAATGTCTGACCAAACATCTTTTGATTCTATGTGGAAACCTAGAAGGGAGTTGACCAAGATTTCTAGAGCTTTAGGTGTAGATGACATGCAAAAATATCCTCGCCTCAGTTCAATTGGTTTAGTTATTCAAATTTGAAACTTTCATTTAGATAGATCAATGAATTTTTATTCTTAGTTGTGAGAAAATAGAGAAGTTGTGAAGTTCGGAACCATAATCATGTGACTGAATCATCTGTCGTTTAACTAGGCCAGTTGTTCACCCAACCAATCGCCCGAGCAACTTGGAACTTTAGTGCCATGTGTTGTCATCCATCTTGCCTCTTGGCCATGCTGCGCCCATGTGCACGGGTGAAAGGTCCTCGTTGGTTTTGGTAATTGAGTGACAACCTAGGTGGACTAATTGTGTTTATGTGAGATACACAGGTGATTAGTCCATAGGTACATGTGTATGAGCAACATATGCCATGGAGGTGAAAATGGCTTGGAGATGTTGCAAAGCTCACACATGTGATGATGAAGGAGCTTATTGCACATGAGACATGACATTGAGTCATGTGATCAAGGTGGAGAAGATCAAGACAAGACTTGGCTTGATGGACCGGTTGCAAGCGTGAAGGGCAAGTCAAAGGCTTTAGAGTGATGGACCGCGTGGTGGTGAAGCTTGAGCAAGACTTGGCGCCGATGGACGATATCAACAGTGAAGAGCAAGTAGAGTCAAGATCGATGAACCAATATGATCATGTGATGATATGAAGTGGATCATATCATTGTTGATCGTGTTGGTGCATGTGTTGCATCGACATTGAAGGAGATGGAATGGAATGCGCAAGGCAAAGGTATAACCTAGGGCACTTCATTTCACAGGTCATAGGTGTGTAGAGAAGTTTATGACCGGGTTTAGGATAGATGGCCGTACTATCAAGAGGGACAAACTTGTTTGCATATCGGTCATCTAGTGCCACTCGAGTGATCTAACTTTGCATTGTCGCTAGGATCGAGTGGTGTGGCAAGTTGAGTGGCTAACATCCTTTGGGAAATGATTGTGAAAATGCTAACACACATACACATGGTGGTGTACACTTGGTGGTGTTGGCACATTTACAAAGGAGGTGGTGTTTGCAGGGGTGAGATGGGTTTGGGTCCCTCTCTCCCTCTCGCTGAGCTTGCGAGGTGGGATTCGGCGCTTTCGGAAAAATAGAATGCCTATTTTCTATTGCGCCGGATGCAAGTTCTTGTGGTTAGCACATTGGAGCAAGGGTGATGAAGTTAGAAGTGAAAACGAGTTAGTCGTGAAGATGCTGGCATCAGTCAACTGACCGGACGCTGGATTTGAATGCACCAGACGCTGGCAGGCTGCGTCCGGTCAGGCTGACGTACGATGACGCAGAAGCTGGAGTGTGACCGGACGCTGGCTGCGTCCGATCAAGTGTGACCGGACGCGTCCGGTCGAGGTCGGTACCTTACTTGAAACGACTGGACGCTGGGGGTTCAGCGTCCGGTCAGTTGAAAGCTGCTGCGTCCGGTCAAGTCAAGTGACCGTTGGAACCGGGACACATGGCCGTCTGCGAGCGACCGGACGCTGAGGTCCAGCGTCCGGTCAACACGATCGGAGCGTCCGGTCGGCCCGACCGTTGCCCAGTGAAGGGGTAACGGCTAGTTTAGCCCTTGGGGCTATAAATAGAAGTGGCCCTCGGCCATGGTTGGTGCTGAGCACCTCAAGGGACTTAGTGTCCATGCTTGTGAGTGCTTGGGAGCCCTCCATCACACACATACTTGATAGCGATCATCCGATTGTGTGAGTGAGCGATTCTAGTGCGATTGCATCGTGAGGTTGCATCGAGTGGCACTAGGTGATCGAGTTGCGAGCCGGTGGTGCTTGTTACTCTTGGAGGTTGCCACCTCCTAGAATGCTTGGTGGTGGTCTCCGTCGAAGCACGCAAGAAGCTTGTGCGGCACTCTGGAGAAGTGCTTGTGAGGGGCATTGTGCTCGCCCCGCGGGAGCCGCGAAGAGCAACTCTAGTAAAGCGTGTCATTGAGCTACCCTCACTCAAGGGGTAGGTTCTTGCGGCGCCCGACGTGCGGGCTTAGCGGGTGATGCTAATTAGCCGCCGAACCACCAAGTGAGCGGTCGACACAACGGGGACTAGCGTGTTGGCAAACACGTGAACCTCGGGAGAAAAATCATCGTGTCAACCTTGTTCTTCCCATTGGTTTGTATCCCCATTACACAAGCTTGCAATTACTTTTATACATATTAAGCTTGTGTAGTTGCTCTTGTAATTAGATAGCTTGTGTAGCTTGCTAATTATCTTCTTGCTTGTGTAGCATAGAAGTAGCTCCCTTGCGTGGCTAATTTGATTTTAGTAACCTTGTTAGTCACATTGCTTAGTTTGTGTAGCTAAGTATTTGTGCTCTCTAATTAGGCATTGGTTGCCTTGTTATTGAGCTTTGCTAGTGAGCTTAGTTGGCTTTGTGCTTTTGCTTACTAGCATGTGTAGGAGCTTCCTTGTTGCTTAAAGTACTAGTGGCATAGGTTTGTGTGACCTTGCTCCTAGAATTGTTTAGAAGAGCTCTAGCTAGCCCGGCACCTTAGTTGCATAATTAGTATCTTTGCAAGGTGCTAGTGAACATATATAGAGGAGTGTAGTCTTGGCTAGACCGATTGTTTTTATTCCGCATTTATATCGGTTAGCCGACGTGATTAATTTTAGAAAAGACTATTCACCCCCCCTCTAGTCCGCCATCTCGACCCTTCAACGGGGAACACTTCGTGTCTTGTACTGCCCTCGCGTTCGGCACCCCACCGCATCCATTATGTCACCATGCTATTCTCTCCTGGCGTTGGTCTTCTTCCACCATTCGCTCTCGCTGGCATTCATGGAGAGATTCCATGGCAATCGCTCCACCTTATCTCAAGCCCTCATAGCCATAGTTTCACCTCGACCAAGCCTCATCGAAAACTACCACCAGCGAAGACCTTCTCTAGTGTATCCTTGAGTAGGTAGCCACCATTGATGCCAGTGCTCGAGTTCATCTAGTATAGCTCTGCCATCCTATCCTTTTCCCTTGATAATCTTGCTTGGCCCCATCATAAGCCTTGATGGACTCACACTTACATACTCTTTTGGGTGGTTGTGACCTTCGTCAGAGCCATTGTCTCTGCAATAGTACATGACCCCAAGCCCCACAAGTTGAAGAACCATTCTAGGACTTTTGAAGCTTTGGAGTCACTACTCAGCTTGACCGTACCCAAGACCTAGGTGAGCAACTTCTGCTTATGTGTCGTTCGGTTTTGTAGATCTGCTACCAACCCGATTCCTACCCCACCCTTTAATTGGACGCCTTAGATCTAGCCTCACCAAGAACCCTAGTGGTACTACTATGCTTGCGGGTTTACCAGAGCACTACTATGACCACTGAAAGATCAAGTACGCTGCAGCCGACCTTGCTGACTACCCCGCCTTACAAACATATAGTATAAGCCTTTGTTCTCTTATCCAAATTGAAAATTCAAGCATAGGTGTTGTCCTCTAGCTTGCCAATTGAAATACCAAATAGCATGCAGTATGAGCCTTGCCGACCACCCTAACTAGACCGCTGAGCAGTTTTTAACCCTATACATCTTGTCCGACCAACATGGTGTACTTGAACCCTTAAGCTAAGCACTTCATGGAGTATTCCACTATAAAACCTAGTCAGACAAGTTGAAGTAAATAAGTATAAGTCCTCTCCATCCTAGCCAACTTGTATCTTTTGTTAAGGTATGAATCTCGAGTTCACTGACTGGAATGCCAAACAATCTTAGTCATGCACGGCCAATTCCCTGTGTGTGTGCGCGCGCGTGTTGATTCAAACTATCATAGTCAAAGCCAATCACTTAGTAGAGCACAACACTCATGTCACCATTCCTAATCCCAAATGGCTACGAGTTTAACACAAGAATCCTGTATGCATTGTATAGATAGATCCCAATCAGAACCGCTGGAAGCTAGTCAGACCAATAAGCTAGCCACCGTTTTAAGTATTCTACAATAAAATCTAGTTAGACGGGTCTAGATAAATGCAATGTAAGCCCTTTGAACATAAATAGGTGAGTAAACAAAAGTCTGGACCCACAGAAGTTAGAACCTAGTTGGACTCCACCATGACCTATTCAGCGCTAAGGAAAATGATTTAGCCGACTAAGATAATAAATCCCAGCGCCCTACCCACAATAAGGGAATCTAGAATTAAAAGCCACAACTTATATCTTATGTATTGT